AACCGTGGGACCGGCGGACCTCCCGCAGGCATGCCGCCAAAGGCTGCCTGACTGCCGCCCTCACAGCAACCGGCAGGCCACCCTCCGCGGCTTGCCGCCCCAGGCACGCACTTGCTGTGCTGGTGCCTGGAGCCGCCCCTGATTTCACTCCATAGCTCTTGCTTCAACTGCTCTGGTCTCAGTGCCTGAACCAAAGCCCATTAAAGTCAGTGGAAAGACTCCTGTGAACTTCACTTTAGATCAGGCCCTAAATGAGGAATGTTGTATCATGTACTTTGGAATACATTTATTTATTTGTTTATTTTTTTTTCATTTTCATAGATATATTCAAAGAGTGACACAGCTACTCAATCAAGCTGTTTTTTTTTGTGAGATCCCTACAGGAGGGGAGGAAAGGAATAGCTGTTGTTTGAAAATACTCTTAGCACTGCATTTTAACAAAATTTGAGAAAATCATTAGCTCTTGCAGATCCTGAACTCGCTGAGCTGTGGATGTAGCGACTTTCCTGCCAGTGAACTACCTCACACCCATAGAACTGAAATAAAACCCTTTTCCATTACATAATTTAAAAATTGCTTAACAGAGGAATGGATTGCATATTAACAGGTCGTTTCCTCCCTCAGATTAGCCAGAATTATGGAAAATTTGATCAGTCTAGTTTTGCCCATTTCAGACTCTTCCTAAGAAGATCATTTTTGCAGAGACCAAGTTGTGACCATTTAAATAAGTGAGTTCAATGTTCTCAGTCTGGTTCCTAAAAGACAGCTGTCAATGTCACAAAACCACCAACTCAGGCCTTGGCTACACTGGTGCTGTACAGCACTGCAACTTGCTGCGCTCAGGGGTGTGAAAACACACCGCCCCCCCCCACCCCGAGCGCAGCGAGTACAGCGCTGTAAAGCGCCAGTGTAATCAGAGCCTGCAGCGCTGCATGCTCGCTCGCAGCACTGCAAGCTATTCCCCTCGGAGAGGTGGAGTACTTACAGTGCTGCGAGAGAGCTCTCGCAGCGCTGGCGATGTGACTACACTCGTGCTTCACAGCGCTGCCGCGGCAGCGCTGGGAAGTCCTGAGTGCAGCCAAGGCCTCAGTGGGCACTGATTGTCCTTTTTGTTATCTGTCTCATCAGAAGGACCAAGTATCAAATGTGGCACAGAGACTGAATTTCCCAACCATTTAGACCTGGAGCAGGATGTGTTTTGAGTGGAACTGGTTGAAAAACAACAACAAATCACACAGAATTATCCACTTTTGCCTCCTCCCCTTTTTGGGAACCCTTTGACCAGCTCTAATTCTGAGGCATCTTGGCAAGGCATGTCTCTGGCATACTCTGATTCTGTGGCTAGATCACTTCATTCACCAGGGTAACCCATCTAGTGTCTTTCCCCATGCAATAAATTCACTAAAGGTAGGGGTGAATGTGGTGTTTTGCTTTAATGTTTTAAAGAATAAATAGTAAAGCCCAGGGGCTAGGTTTTGTGTCTTTGCTTAATGCTGCCTTTGTTGTGTTGTTGCTGTTTTATCTCTGCAGTAATCACTGGTCCCCCCCCCCCCTCTATTTTCTTCACTGGTCTGATTATGAGACACACGAACAAATATTCTTTATACACTGATCTCCAGTGAGATCTCATAGGCAACCCCCTTGTCTCCAGCTATTTCTGTCTGGTTATCCCATGTACACTGCAGCCATCCCCAGACTCTTCCATTTCACAGTGAGCTAGAAAGAGGCACAGGGGGAATAGATATTGACATATGAAATGCAACCAGAGATAGAGAGGTAAAAAAGGAATCGAGCCTCTATAGTTTAGCGTCTGCCCTTCACGCAAAGCCTCTGGATTGCACATGACTCCCTCACTCACAGCTGCAGTTCCAGCCTTTGTGGCTCTTGCCCTGTGAGAGGGAGAGAGAGGAGAGATGAGTGCACACACATACACACACGCTGTGAACTGCTTCACCTCTGCTCACGATCTCCAGTGCCAGGCCCTGGCTTGAACTGCTGCCTCAGAGGTCAGGTAGCACAGTGTATTATCACAAACTGCTTCACATCAGATTTTACTATAGCAGCAGTATCAGAAATGGCTTCTTATCAGGGAATTTTCTACTGGTAGAAAAAAACTGACACTGCAGGTGTACCATTTTTAACTGCATTTGCTTGTTCATAGGCATTTGGGTAGCAAATTATGAAGGAGGAGGGTCTCTGTCAGAATTTGTTACTCACCTTTATTCATTGCTTTTTTAATTTTAAATGTTTTAAATCTGAATTTTAAATGTGGACATAAATAAAATATATTTGACAACATATAAACACATTTTAATATAGTGATTCAACGTTAAGTTTTGTTTGGTTGGTTGCATGTATATTAAACTATATATATGTTATAATTGTTATTAATGTGTATAATGTCAATATCTTAATAAAATATGTATCAACAAAATAACTATTAAACTATAAGACTGAGTTAGTCACATAAGTATTACATATAAATTCCTATACATAGAATTAATCTGAATATTTCAGGCAGATATACTCTTTCATTATTAAATGACTTTGAAAAGTAATCTGTCAATTTAAAAAAATGATGACAGAGAAATAATTCAAATTATGATTGGAATAAACTCTTACATTATTATATTTTTAAACTTTTTGCTAGAATTAATGCATATGCTTTTATTTTTCTCTATACATATGATCTGTAACCAAATTATGACTATTAGCTGCATTTCAAATGTTAGTATTAATGACTAATTATCATTATTAATACAAGTCTGATCCTTATCCCAATTTTTCCATGGTGTCCAGATGTATATGTTACTTTCTGATACTGGATCATGACCTTTATTCTAATGCTCTGAAAAGTTATTTTCTGTTTTCTAACCTGCCCTCTCCTGTATGGTATGCATAGATCTCATTTTTTCTCTCTCTTTCTCTCTCTCTCTCGACATCATCATCATTTGTCATTTGGACAATTGATATAGTTGCAATAGGTACAGCAGCTCTCCAAGCAAACAACAAAATAAATATGATGTAATCTGGTTTTTTTAATGAGAAAAGTTATGGAAATAGAAATCCAACTTATTGATAAGATGTGATATTTATTTCAAAAATGAAATGTCATAGAATTCTTTTCATTTTGTGCAGCATATTGAAAATCATAAATGATACATCTCTCTAGTAGTCTTAAACTCTCCCTTTCATGCTGGTAATTATCATTACTGTAGCCCATTATTTCTGAATGCTTTTTCAAACACTGCAGGGAAGATAAATAGATAAACTGCCATGAGGCCATATGCAGGTCTGTCACACCTCCCTCAGCTCTCTAGGACACCAAAACACCAAAGACAGCTATGGTAACCATGAACATGTTTAGGCTGGTGTATGTGTAAAATATTTCGTTGACTCAAGTCTCCTTAGGCAGCTCGGGACATCATTCCAGATAGAGAAGATCTGCCTTACCTGGGCAGTAGGCTATACTGTGCCTTTAACAGCACAGCCGCGGGGGAGAGAGTGCATCCATCCAGGAACACAAACCCCTCTGCCACCCCTACTCAACCAAAGCAATTCGGTAACTGATTTCCTGCCCATCCCAGGTTTCTCCTGCTCCTCCTTTCCTCTCTTATCCCCAGCTCCTGCCCCGACTAGGGTGACCAGATGTCCTGATTTTATAGGGACAGTCCCGATTTTTGTGTCTTTTTCTTATATAGACTCCTATTACCCCCCCATCCCCTGTCCCCATTTTTCACACTTGCTGTCTGGTCACCCTACCCCTGACATTGTCTATCTATCGGACTTTCTCCTTCCCCTTGGCTTCCTTCATCAATTTTACCATCCTCCAGAGGTTTGGGGGCCACCCTGCACAAATTCTACCCACCCTCCTCTCCGATTTGTCCCCTCTGCCCCCCCCCCTTCTAGCACCAAGCGGATTCTGATTTCAAGGAAGGGCAGACTCAGGGCAGCGCCTTCAGCAGATGCTGCTGCGCGCTCAGCACCAGCGCAGGGCGAGAGCGGCACTGTCTGCTAATACACTCCCTCACCCGCAGTCAGCTGACCCCCGTAATGAACCGCCTGCCCCGCCGCGGGGTCCCGGGGCCACGCCACCGGAGTCCCGACCCGCCCCACCCAGCTCTCCTATTGGTCCCAAGTTAAAGTCCAACAGACATCCCCAAGTGCTATATATACACACATCTCCGCCGGGCTATGGGAAACCACAGAGCGGGAGAGAGGCCAGCAGCATCTCTGGGAGAGTAGCTTGCAGCCAGATCCCATCTGCCACCTGAGAGCCAGGGACCCTCTGACATCCAGAGTCAGAGCCTCTCTTCACCTGAGAGCCAGGGACCCTCTGCCACCTGCAGCCAGAGCCCCTCTGCCACCTGCAGCCAGCACCCTCCTCCACCCAGAGCCCCTCTGCACCTGAGAGCCAGGGCTCCTCTGCCACGTGCAGCCAGGACCCCTCTGCCACCTGCAGCCCCGCAAGGCCACCTGCCTCTCCCGGCCAGGTCCCCCCCCCGACCAGCCCCTTTGCACCCACACCCGTAGTGATGAGCTCCCCCTTGAAGAGAGCCCCGCTGCTCAGGTCCTTCCTGACGCTGAGAGATGCCAGCACGCAGCAGCAGCATCAGCAACCCCGGCTGCCCACATCCTCCGCCTGCGCCTTCCACCCTAAGGCGGAGGAGGTGGCGCCGAGCGAGCCGCCTCCTCACTGCCGGGGGCACCCCCTCTCCGCCCTGCCCGGCCCCACCAACTGGCCCCTGCTGGGCAGTCTGCCGGACGTCCTCTGGAAAGGGGGGCTCAAGAAGCAGCACGAGACGCTGGTAAAAATAACCATCAGCTGGGGCTGGAGGGGAGAGGCTGCGGAGGGAGGCGCCGAGAGGGCTCCTGGGGTGGGCGGTGGTGGCTAACCCGCGCGCAGGGGGTCTGCCTTGCTCCAGATGTACTTCGCCTGGGGCCACGCATATAGGAGAGGGGAGGGAGGGCATCGCAGCTGGGCTGTTCCGGGCGCTCACCTGGGACTCTCCTGCTGCTGTCTCCTTGTCCTAGGCTGATTACCACCGAGCATTTGGGAAGATTTTCCGCATGAAGCTGGGCGCCTTTGACTCAGTTCACATCGGAGCCCCCTGCTTGTTAGAAGCTCTGTACCGGAAAGAGAGCGCTTACCCCCAGAGGCTGGAGATCAAGCCCTGGAAAGCCTACCGGGACTACAGAGACGAGGGCTACGGGCTGCTGATCCTGTAAGTGGAGATGGGGATCTGAGCATCTCGGGGTGGGCAGGGAAGAGCACCTGAGCAGTGAAAACCGTGAGCGGGATGTGAGAAATAACTGGCTGCACTGGCTGCGCCCTTAACCTCCCTGCAAAGATGAAGACCGGTCCAGCGCGGGACTCGGTGAAATCAAGGATGCAAAGAGGAGAACGGGCGCAACAGCCGCACAGCTGATAACGCTGCTGGGCATGCTGTGTAAATACAGCGAGGTGCCAGCAATGATGGCAAAGCCCCATTTCAGAGGCTGGAAAATCGATCTTGCTTGCAACGGCTCTGCCTTGCTCAAGGCAGGTGCCTATCCCGGCAAAAGGCGATTTCCAACTTGCTTACACTGCAGTGATGCTATAAACCTCCCACTGTCCTTAAACGTGTAATATTTAGTTCCCATTCAGAGCAGCTGTGCTTTAGCTTCTCTTTGCATCCTTACCCGCTGGAAGCTATTTCCTCTGAAGTGATGGCATGATCATTAACCAGACATAACTGTACTTATTATACTTTGGATCTGTTTCTTATTCTTTTCTCCGCTACTTTTTACTGTGATGAAGTTGTATTGATACCTTAATGCTGTTAGCAAATATGCTCCCAATTTGCAATCGTTTGATTAAGCTTGGACATTGTAGTTGCTTCGTTTTTAACTTTGTCTACTTTTTTGTTTTTTTTTTTTGCCGTTATTGCATCTAGAGAAGGAAAGGACTGGCAGAGAGTAAGAAGTGCCTTTCAAAAGAAGTTAATGAAGCCCACAGAAATCGTGAAACTGGATACCACAGTCAATGAGGTACTTCATGCTGAAGGATGTGTGAACTGTCTTTTCCTCTTCCGTTTAATCATTTTGTATGCAACTAACTCTTACAACAACATTAGGTGGTACACTTTTTACTATCACGCGGGATAAAACTGTACACAAAGACTACACAAGAGTCTGATCCCAAAGCAGTACAAACTGAGAAGCTGATGGCTAAGGCCCTGGTCAACCTCTAGATACCATAAGAAGCATTGAGAATTACTGTGGTGCTTTGTAGTATTCTTCCCTTAAATATGTTGCTGTAACTATTCTGTACTTTAGTCATCTATTCTGATACAAATCCACCAGAATTTACAATTGTAACTCCCCCTATAGAATAATCTTTTAAAAATATTTATCCACTGCTTTGAGATTCTCTCTGTTGAACAAAAAAAGAACAGGAGTACTTGTGGCACCTTAGAGACTAACAAATTTATTAGAGCATAAGCTTTCGTGGACTACAGCCCATTTCTTCGGATGCATCCGAAGAAATGGGCTGTAGTC